GTAACCTCGGATTCCTATTGCACCTTTCTTTAATTTCCGAGGGTTTTTATCATTGGAACTTATTGGTCTACCACGTTTCTTACGTTGTCTAGACTCTGTAGCAACTTGATTGTGTTCTTTGTGAACATCAATACGTACTGGTGCATTACAAGCTGGTATGTACGCTTTTATAACTCTCTTTGGGCCATCAAAGGAATCTGGCAATTCATTAGCTAGCTTTTGCAAATTTATTATCTTATGGATCTCTGAATCACACATCAGAGTCCGAGGATCTTGCCAATTTAAGGATGTTTGATTCCATTATATTTCTTTGACCAGCTTGTTTGTCTCTCCACCTAAAGTAGGAAATTCGGATTCATTAAAATGACAATCTGCGTATCTAGCCTTAAATAGATCACCCATGGTTGGCTTTAGATACTTAATAATGGTGGGAGAATCAAATCCAACATATATTCCCATCCTCCTTTTAGGTCCCATCTTTGTTCTATGTGGTGGAGCAATCGGTACATATACGGCACACCCGAATGTCTTTAGATGGGATATGTCTGGCTTATGACCCGTTAATAATTGGGATGGCGAATATTTATGTTCACTAGATGGCCTTATGCGTATAAGCTCTGATGCATGTAAAACAGCATCCCCAAGCGGCTACTGGAAGCTTCGACCTCATGAGTAATGGTCAAGCTATCAATTAAATTCGTTTAATGAAGAATTCCGCTAATCCGTTCTAAGTATGTACATGTGCCACGGGATGTTCCACACTTACCTCCATGGACATACAGTAGTCATTAAACGCTTGGGACATGAATTCACCGGCATTATCTAGACGTATAGTCTTAAGCGGAAAATCTGGAAAGTGGGCTCTCAGTCTTATGATCTGGGCCATGCGGTATTTAAGACCGAATCATGCAATCGATTTTAGACTAGTCCATGCAGTATTTAAGACCGAACCATGCGACTATCTTGTCTATGCATCAATGAGGACCATGAAATATCTAAATGTCCCACATGGTGGGTGTATTGGTGCACATATATCCCCTTGTATCCTTTCCAGAAAATTTAATGTCTCTTTATTTATCTTTGCCGGTGATGGCCTTATAATGAGTTTTCCTTGTGAACATGCTTCACACGTGAGATTCTTAGGGATAACTCTTTTCTCTTTTAGGGTGTGCCCCTTTGAATTTATCATAAGCTTACGCATCATACTATGACCCGGATGGCCAAGCCGGTCATGCCATAAAATGAACTTTTCGTTGGACTCTTTCATTATCTAGACGTATAGTCTTAAGCGGAAAATCTGGAAAGTGGGCTCTCAGTCTTATGATCTCGGCCATGCGGTATTTAAGACCGAATCATGCAATCGATTTTAGACTAGTCCATGCGGTATTTAAGACCGAACCATGCGACTATCTTGTCTATGCATCAATGAGGACCATGAAATATCTAAATGTCCCACATGGTGGGTGTATTGGTGCACATATATCCCCTTGTATCCTTTCCAGAAAATTTAATGTCTCTTTATTTATCTTTGCCGGTGATGGCCTTATAATGAGTTTTCCTTGTGAACATGCTTCACACGTGAGATTCTTAGGGATAACTCTTTTCTCTTTTAGGGTGTGCCCCTTTGAATTTATCATAAGCTTACGCATCATACTATGACCCGGATGGCCAAGCCGGTCATGCCATAAAATGAACTTTTCGTTGGACTCTTTCATTGCCATATTAGCTTCGATCATATCGATTTTAGCATAGTAGAGACCAGTGGATAATGCGGATATAGTCTCTAGGACTTTCTTATGTCCTTTGGTGATCTCAATTATATTTAGGAATTCTTTGTTTCCTTCACCCTTTGTTTCAATATGGAAACCATTCAATCTTATTTCTTTGAAACTCAATAAGCTCCTCTTTGAGCTGGGTGAATATAAGGCATCATTTAGTTCAAGATGCGTGCCATTTGGTGATAAGATATGGGCTTGGCCGTAGCCCTCAATAAGACTACCTATACCCGCTATGGTGCTAATATTGGCATTTTTCATTATGATATTTAGGAAAATATCTCTTGTCTTTTAAAATTGTGTGGCTCCACTATCCACCACAAGTATGTTCTTGTCCTCGGCCATTTCTTATATGGACAAGAATCATGTTTTAAACATAAAGTAATATAAAATAAATTCAAGGAAATAACAATCAATGAACACATAAAATGCAAAGAAAAACATAGAGGTTTTGATGTCGAAGTCAGATTTATCAACTTGATTCTTTTAGGCAATCAGGAGTTTCATACTCCATTAGATCATCTTGATCATGTTCACCATCTTTATATACCAAATGGGCTTTAAGATTCTTCCTTTTTCACACTCTCTTGATAGAGGTCACAACGATGTTTGGAAGTCCTACATATCTTAGCCCAATGGTTCCCCATTCCACATCTATGGCATACTCATTTGGTCGAGTGTTGTGGTTTGGAAATACCACATCGTCCTCGCCCTCGACCACGGCCGGAATTGGGTCTACATCCACGGTTATAGTGGTTCCCACGGCCGGATGAGTTATAGTGGCCACAACCACGTCCTTTCCATCCACTATGACTACGGCCGTGTAGTCTATCTCTATGGACGTGGTTAGATTCTTTGGATTCTTCCTTATCCTCTACGGCCTTATTGGCATCAGGTAATGGGGTTAATCTATGAGGTCGTAATTCACTGTTTTTATCAGTAAGTCATTATTTTGCTCATCTAGAAATAGACTCATCCACGGACTTATAGTCCTGGATTATGAGACTCTCAATAAGATGGTGGCTAATATTGCCTTGTATCTATCTTTCTCTCTTGGCATTATTGCCTTATTAGATACATTCACCAAGTCCTTTTGACTTTTAGGATAATCTTAGTATCCATTGCCCATTTTAAATAATTATCTCCTAAGAGATTTAGGGCAGTAAAATACAAGTTGTAATTCAACATCTACAAGGAAAAGTTTTGAGTCAAAATCATGTAATCGTTAGTGTCATGCGGTATTTGAGACCGAACCATGAATCGATTTACTTAGGGATTTGACTTTCCTCTTTTGCTTAGGATTAGATTTCCTCTTTTGCTTAGGATTAGATTTCCTCTTTTAATTAGGGTTAACTATTCCTTTTCCTTTTAGGATTTACTTTCCTCTTTACTCTAGGATTAATTTTCCTATTTCACTTATGATTTTAGATTTTTAAGATTTTCTATTTTATTTAGAATTTGGAAAATTTCTATTTCTTAAGGTTTTTCTATCTTGAATAGGATTTATGAATTTCCTAATTTAATTAGGATTTAGAGTATTTTAGAATTTCCTATTTACAATAGGATTTAGGATTTTATTTAGGTTTTCCTGCTTTCTTTAGGATTTAGCTTTTCCTATTTAGAATAGAATTTAGGGTTTTTCAGATTTCATATCTTAATTAGGATTTTAGGGTTTTACTATTTTCTTTAGGATTATCTTTTCTAAGGTTTAGGTAAAGAAACCTTGCAAGACCCCATGTGATATCTTGAAAAGAAGGAACGGAGACGTCCAACTTGAGAGGAGTAGGTAGAGAGTTCGATGCACAAGCAAAAGGCAAGCCAGTCCCCACTGAGTTCTGAACTAGGCGGGGAAGCTCTTGACATATCTTTTGCGCTATCCTGAACACCGCATACAGTGGGATGCATCCTATCACCAGTCTATATGGAAGACTCTGCAGATTAAGAAGATTACATCATAAGCATACAAAATATTTCATCTCGATAGGTAAACAAGAAACAAACGCATTGAAAGACATCAAATACACCAGTAGATACAATGAGCTAAGACTCATCTTTCAAACCAAGAAAGGGTGTATATAAGATATCAGAATAATCATGAGAGTAAAAAAACAGAACGTAATGCAGGGAGACTTATTCTGCACAGTATAGAACCAAGAAAAAAGATAAAGACATGACATGGTATAGCTTCACCTTATGGAATTTGGAACTGAAATCATTCAGGTTGATATTAGATGGCTTTGTGTCTCCTGTCCTTTGAGATTTGACTTTGAAGAGTGAGTTTCTTTTACTTTCTCACATACATTTTAATGAGCTCAACTGAAAATTGCAAACTATATTTGGTGTTGTAGATACATACACATGGCAAAGAAAGCACGGCCCAGAGAGAGGGTTCAATTGGCAGATCACCAAAAGAAGAGAACATAGTGAAGTCCATAAGTATACCCGACTCATGGACTTCACTATGTTCTCTTCTCATTTGGTGCTCTAATCCTCATTTCTTCATTTTGTTTATTTTCAAATTTGCGTATAGCACAGGTGATGTATCGTGTTTATTAGTCGAGTTCTTTTTGGTCTTTTTGGCAATGCTAAGTATCTGCATCTTTGCATCAATGCTTTGTTCCTGCATTTTAGATCTAATAAACTTTGTCTCTTTATAAAGTTTGTATACGTTATAGATTACATGTTTTGGTGAATTGATTTGCAGAATTTGGTTGTATAATTAGTTGCATGTTCTGGTTTCTAAGTTGCAGGTTTGGTTTGAGAAAATTGAAGGTTTTCGTTTTGCAGACTTGATGATGATTCATGTTTTCAGATGAAATTTGATTTGCCTAAGATGCTTTTAACAACTGCTAAGAAACAGAATGAAGAACTCGAGAGAATTAGTACAACAATTCCCAAAACATGTTTGCCATATCCAGCCTTTCGTATTTTGTATCATACTTTAGAAAACATTTTCATTTCATAAATTAGTATTAGTTTGTACCGATTGACATCTCTATTTGTGCATTTATCGTATACATTCAAGCTATTACGTACGTGAGAGAACCCTTATTGTCATATGAAAGAAAATCATCTTTTCTTATCACTACAAGAAAACATA